CCTCGACAGTTAGTGTGTACGACGCAGAGTCCAGGAATAGCATTATATTGTGACATTCTATACACGTGCTTGATATCTGGGAATGAGAAATTGCGGAGATACTGTACTGAGCCGACCATACCGGTGGAGGGTGTGACACGGGACAAAAAGTTTCGTGCCGGTGACGCGGTGAAACCGGCGGTGACCACCACCGTTTGCCTATATATGGAAGGTACCTGCCCAATATGGTAGGCAAAGGCGCCGCAGGCGCCGAAGAAATGGGAGCGCCGGGGAAAAAACCCGATGTGACCTGGGACAAAATGTCCGCGGCGGGCGCTTCGGCCGACCCTTGTGACCCGTGACCACCGCTATGGTCGGCTCAGTACAGTAACAGTTATCAGTGAAGTTGGGTCGGGCGATGGGAAATGCTCGGGATGCGGGGGATGAATGCAAAAATGGGATGGATGAGATGGTACGGCAATGCAAACAAGAAAGAGTGTGAAAGATGTGTGAGGTAGCGAGTGATACAATGCAATAGAGTTTACAATGACGACGACGTAGGCCCATAGCCGCTGTCCGTTCGTTCCCCAGTCCATCTTTCTCGGCCCTTACCTTTCCCTTTCCCGCTCCGGTCATGGTCGTGGTCGCTATCGGTAGGGTGTAGGGATGGTCCATGACTGTGCGTAGATACTGATGTGGGCGAGGCCTCCCATATCCGAATAGTGTGGTCATCAGAGCATGTCGCAAACATGCGTCCATCGGTGGGATGCCACGCCACCGCATTGACGCTCCCAGAACCATGTCCGGCCAGGTCCTCCAGGAGTGCGCCTGTGTCTCGATGCCACAAATATACATGACCATCTGTATAGTATCGCGGGATCTTCAGTAGGTGATTTCCGGCTAGTCACACGATGAACTTACCTTCACTTCCACTTGCAATAAAGTTGTCATCCACACCTCCGAAACAGCTTCGTATTACGTGTTCCGATTGTGTTTGTCCCGTGTATTTCCGGACCAACTGCTCTTCAGCCAGATCCCACAAGTGGATCTCCTATGGGAAGGTATTAGAGAACATCGACTGCGCAACCAACATGCACCACTCACGCAAGGGGCGTTTGCACCCGACGAACGATTTATCAAAGCGAACCGGGAATCCTTTGATATCTTCACGCTCGTCAGCTCGCCTTCCATTCGTATCGATCTAGGGTGCACAGAAGGCGAGAGAGTCAGTGTCATGTAACGAAGCCAATCTGGAGGGTGAAACAAAGCTCACGTCGAAGGCTGCTTTGTAGCAAGATCGTATACGATCACTTCGTGTTCCGATGGTCTCGACCCACTTGCCGGAGCGGCACCTCCCGCTGGAGGGGTCGCAGCTTCTGGAGGTGTTATTGACGCAGGTGGTGCTGGCGCGTCATACATTCCTATTGCAACGAGACGTGTGAAGTCTGGTGTGATAGCGAGGTCGGTCACTCGAATGGGCGTCCGGCCCCAACTGTCCCTTTGCTTCCCGTCGGCATCCTGGTATAAAATGGTCAGCAATGCGCTCCGAATCCATGGCGTCGGGATTACCGTACCCATAGAATAATCTTCCTATCGAGACCGCCTGAGATGAACCCCGAGCCATCTGGAAGCCAAATCAGAGCGGTGACCACGTCTGTATGCGTCTCCAGCGTTCGAACCAGCACCCCAGTCTGAGGTCAATAATTGGTGAGTATGCTTCCAATCCTCTGAATTGCAAAATGCTGCGTACTCGTGTGTTCCACATTCGAATATAGTTCTCCGCCGCTGTGAGGAGGATGTTGTCGTCCAATGACCAAGCTACGCAACCCACGGAATATGGATGTTCCCGCAGGATATGCTCTGCGTGATAATCTCGCGTTGAGGGATCTTCATCAGACTGGTCATAAACATAAGTATGCAAACACGATGTTATGCAAGATAGAATCACGCTCACCCCTACCCGCCAGATTATCGCTGACTTATCCCTGCTCGCTGTAGCCAGGAACTGCCCGTTATGACTCCACTCAAGATTCCACACCTCGTCCGTATGGCCCTCCAGAATCGCTGTCGTTACTCTCGGAAACGCGTTCTCGTCGCAGTAATGATCCGTATATAGTGAGAAGGTACGCGCGTTCGTGGGTGCGTTGTGGTACAAACACCGGCTCTGCTGGTAGATTCGTGCCTGGTCCAATAGGGTGGCAAATCTCCGTTGTGGTATCATGACAGACGAGGGAATGTATCCTGTGGTTGTGTGATTAGTTAGAGAGCTTTCAGCAAGAACACGAGCCACGAACGTTGAAGGTCTACAAGTAGACGACGCCTCGAGGTCCCCGACACTCCGTCCCAGTTGGCTCTCTGCCGAAGGTCATCTGAGTCGGCACACATGAGAAGACTGCGGGGAGAAAGGTTCAGCAAGTCTACTTGAAGACGTCAGGGAGTCCGTTACCCACCTCGACAAGGAATGCAGTTGGTCCGAATCCACATTTAGCGGCGCGAGTTCTTGTCGAAGAATGTTCAATGCAGTACTGGTCTTGCCAGCTTCCAGCAGCTCCAAGTATTTCTGCTGGCTTATCAGAAATTTGGCCTCCTGAATACGAGAGCATGGTGAGTGCGTGACCACGCTGAAACATAAGGACGGCGCTGACCCATAATCCATCATCATTCGCTACACCTAGACGCATCAGTGCAGCCTCCGCACTGTCCCAAGCACCATCCAATATACACTGTCGGAACTCTGATACTTCGGACGTCTCCATAGAGTAACCTGATTCGGCCTCCAAAGTGGCGGCCGATTCACTGCAGCAACGCAAGTATTGACAAAGAAATGAGCACCGAAATTCTGTCTGAAGAACCAACAAGACCACTCACATATAACCAACGTCCCGTAAACTCTGAATAACTAACCGCACGAACTCCTCCCTATCAACATACGAGTCGTCGTAAAGGGTCGATCCCGGCAATGATACTCTAGAAATAGCCATGCGAGCCTTCTCCGCCACTCGACCATCCATGGCATCCGGTGAACGAGACTTGGAAGTACCGTTCGTATAGGGTGCCGAAAATCCATTTGTCTTTGTGGTACCGTTGTGGCCGTTTGTCATGGATGTGGCGGTAGAAGGACCGGCCTCCGGAGCCGAATCCAGCGAAACGGACAGTGCAGAGTCATTGTCGCTTTCCTTGAGTCTCATGTTGGTATCGGATGCGGTGGATGTGAAGGAGTCTTCTGAAAATAGGGAGCGTTCTACCGCAGTAACGGAGCTGAGGCTGTTGACCCTTTGTCTCTTGCGGGCTCGGGTGGTCTCCGGGTCGTAGTCGTAACGGCCGCTGGCGAGGGGTGATGATACGTGCCTAGCTCCTGACGAAGGATGTAGATACGTGAGCGGGGACGCAGAACCAGATGAAAGGGCTAGTGAAGCTGAAGGATGGTCGTCTGAATCGCCCTCCTCGAGCTCTAGCCGAGGGCGCGTGGAGGGGATGAGACTGGGACTGGAGCCGACGCTTAGCTGCGAAGTTCTTCTCGCAGCGGGTGATATAGATGGTGCAGCGAGTGATTCCGATGAGTACGAGTGGTCCAACGACGAGTTCGGGAGAGAAGTCGAGGTGGAAGGGACGGTGCCCCGCGCAGGAGTGGTCGGGGAGTGTGAATCAATGGTGACTATCTCTATTGCGATTCCGTTTGTGAGAGGACTGGTTTGGGTGTCGATGGGAGCGTTCCAGGATGAAACTACGACGATGTGAACGGTATAAGTCGACGGAGAGATGAAGGCATGCAGCAGGCTCGCGGTCGTCCTGCGCGGTGCTCGTTACGCTACGCGGAGTGCTATTCGTGCACGCGGTCTCCAGCGCCAGCCGGCCTTATTTCATACCACCATTGTCTTTCTCTCTCGACGCTCGTTGCCATCGTCTGTCGCTCGTATCTCGCAATGTTGAAGCCTCTGCATCCCATTAGAGGCCTGCAAAGCAAGCGTAGCGGACTAGGGCGCAGCAGGATGCCTATCCGAATCAGCAGCGCTACAGTATCCGGTGCCCAAGCACTCAATCCGATGGTCTCAGGCCAGGGGCCGTAGTGCCGCTGCTGAGTGCTTTCCAAGAGAAATCAGATTCGGACACGCAGGTAAGCATATTTCTATCTATCTGTTATCATCCTTGCTTACGCACATCGCAGTCGGTCATGGTCCTCGATATGCATGCACTGGCAGACACGCATTACCGTGGTCGATGACAGGCATCCCTCTCATGCCTGCATCCCACACGCGTTTCTGCGAGGAGCCCACCTACCGCATTGCAAGTGTTTTAACTGGCCAGCTAGTATCTTCATTGCTTCAATGCTGTTTGTGTTTTGAAATTGTCCGTCCGTTGTACGCCACATGTGCTTCTCGTCTGGCAGCCACTGGCCCACTGAAGACAGCTAGGCTTGCCTGTAAGCATCATGCGGTCTTCAGAGCATCCACACGTCACTTGTGCACCGTTCACGGTGTCGGGAACAGCTGAACTCAGGTCACCTTCAAAGCCGCGCCTTGCAATCCCTTGACATCTTGCAAACTACGACATCGGATATGATGCATACGCTTGATGCTTGATGGGTGAGTTGTATTTTGCGTTCACGAGGCATCTACACGTACTGAACCTTGTATTCAAGCGCAGCGATACATATAATTGGTCTGAAGGGGCAAGTGCTCTGCTTTGTATCGTCCAGCGTCGCTTCGTCGAACAAAATACGATTGACAGGCTTATGTGCCTCGTATCGCCTTCTCTGTTTTCAGCTCTACGTCAACAGTGACGACATTCAGCTGCATGTCGACATCAGCAACTTACAACTTCAGATGTGATGCTCTCCTCGCTGTCCGTTTGATGGCCAACGTGGCTGCTTGGCTGCCAGCATCGCTCGACCCAAAAGACCCCCTCCCACACATGCCATGGACCTTCCGTCCGATGGCCATGCATTCGTGGTGAGTAGGCCTTTCTTTTCCGAGATGCCTCGATGAAGAATATGCATCATTGACCTTGCTCGTAGTCATCACGGTTCGATGGTGTAGTTGGTTATCACGTTCGTCTCACAGTTTCCGACTGTTGAATTCGCCTTCTGGCGCACGAGAGGTCTCCGGTTCGAACCCGGGTCGAACCAATGTTTTGCTCGTCAAATCAATTGTCTCGTCCCACTCATCCGGTTTTTGCCTCCGTCGATCCTCTAGATCGTCCTGGTATCTCCGATCAGACGCCCCAGCGCAAGGGCCAGAGAATGGAAAACCGCAGGTCAACTACAGCACACTGATCACAAGTAAGTATCTCTACGTTGTACAGGCGTGTATCTACGTGTTCTCAGCAGCTATTTGCGTAGCAGAATGCTCAAGAACGACCGTACCTTTGCCGTACCTTCTACATTCCTCCATTTCGGCAAATGCCGAACCCTGGGTATGTGCATGAGATTCTTCGTTGCTGCCTCTGCTGGAGCCAAGGCCGACAGAACGAGCCAGAAAGCCCTGGAAGTGCGTCCTTTTCATTGTCAATGATCTTGACTACTAGCTTGACTCTTCTTGACTCCACCATTGCAGCCTACACCGTACATGTCGTCGAACGTGGCAGTGATGTGATCACCGTGTCCTTTCTACACAGAACATCTGTCCTCACAAGCAGAAAAATCGCATACAGGGACCTCCAGTCGCAATACATACGCACACACACGTTTCGGATCTGTGTCTTGTGGTGAGGACGATGCCGTTACCAAATGCTGATCTGTCTCCTTCGCCGCGTTCCCTCACGTTCTTCGGCGGTACTTTCGCCCTTGGTTTCGGATGGGCGTGACACCGCCGTGCCAGTGGTCCGTTGATGGGCCCCCTCGGTGCTCGTGCAGCTCTACGTGTGGACCCTCGAAGAGTCTGTCGGTTTTCGCAGAGGTCAAGATACTTCACTTGATCTACATGCCCCAAAATACAGTACTGATCGAACGCGCCGCGACTTCCAGGATCAGATATAACGCTTTTCGGGTACTCGGTATGCCAATGGCCAATGGCACCCCACAGGATCGTCCGACACGCCATACGCATTCGTGCGTCGTCCGCCCAGCCAGCTACACCGCGCGTCGTGATTCGTATGTCACTGGTGAGTACATAGCACATATCAGCGCACCTTCCAACGAAAAACCCTCGCAATCGCTCGCCATGCCGCCGCGCAACGTACAACAGTTACTTACACGTGTTTCCAGGTGCACATCCGCCCACCCTACCTTGGCTCTTTCTGGGGCGGGACCCTTGAGGACCCTTGCCTACAATCACGCCAGCCAGTCATAAGATTTACGCTTTTCACTTTTCCCGCTGCTAGAAATCTAGACCATGATCAGCGTGACGTCCACGGGTTTTTCGGCCGATCTTGCATCGTGTTAGCCTCGAGGCTACATACCAACGGTTCAACGCTGGTCTGGAATGCGCGAAGTTGCAGGGTACTGTAAGTCTTCGCTTGACAGGGACTACATAGTGTTGGTTGAACTTCTCTTGCAGTCACGGTCAGCGTAACCTTGGATCGCCGTACGAGTACGTTCCGGGCCGCCTCCTTCGCCCTAGCATCGCGTACTGTTCCATCTACGCGGCGGTCACGGTCCAGATGAGATACGAGTGGCGACTGGCCCTCCGCGAATCGGTAGTCCAGTACTCGCTCCAAGCTCCTGGAATTCCTCTCAGCACTGTTTAGCGTATGTATGGATTCAATCACTCGCAACTATCCATGGATCGCAGCTGACATCCGAGTCCCCATCCAGTTCAGATATCCGAAGGCCCTCCCGGCCCCTCCGAAAATACGACTCTATCAGCAGTTCGTCACGCCAGAAGAACTCTCCAGCCGACATACTCCAACACAACGAGTAGCAAAAGCAGGCCTAGCCCCCACGCTCGCCGTCGCCGGTGACCGGTGACCCACCAACATCTAACTCTGATCTTGTACGCCCAGGCAGCCACACAGGTCTGAATCTGAATTTGATGGCAGCTGACCCTCCACAATCTGCAGTCCCTTGGTGGCGTCGTGCGCGGTCAGGTTATCGGTATCGCTCAGGAACTGGACGAAGTGTTGGGTGTTTGACAGGAAGGTACCAACTTTGAGAGGCCAAGCTCAGGTCCAAACGGAAGGAAGACTAGAGTCTAGGGAAACAAGGTCGGACAGCTCTATAACCGGTCAAGTGTACGATACAACGCAGTCACGTCCACCAACCAATCCAAGATATATGTTTCTTCAATCTTTCAGCGAGTCTAGGCTCTCTCCATCTCCATCTCATCTACTCGGCCTACACTCGGCGTCGACGGTCGTACGACGCAAAACAAAGGTAACCACGAGACTCTGCCCAAGGTTCCTATGAAGTAATCCATGACGATTCGTTCGAGTAACCATCACGCAACAAAACGAAGTTCGCAATCAATAGAGCTTATTTCACGTACCACCGTACTTAACAAGCACTATAACTCTCGGTGGTGATATCTTGCGCGCGCACGGCACAAAATGATACGATACCTGCGCGTGATCACGCCGACTAACGACGCAACATCGCAATCGCACAACAAGATAAATGCAAACCAACTTATGATTGTATTGCAGTGCTCAAAAAACACGAGATTGAATACTTAGGAAATGCTAGAGGGGTGATGCGAGGATGCAGTTGGTGGTTGTGATGTTTTATAGAAAGGATGCTAATGCTAATGCTACGATATGGTTTGGTTTGTGCTTGTGCTTATGCTTCTTAGAGAGTTCTGATGTGGGTTGTGAATGGGGGAGAGGACATGATAGGCAACGTGAATGGGGGAGAAGACCAGGTCCAGGTCCAGCGAAGGAAAGGAAAAAGCGCGACGAAAGAGATGCTACGGACGAACTAGAGCAGCTTCTACATCTGGCGCACCTTCAACTGGAAGTGGAAGTGGAGTAGATAAGACGAAATCACAGAACACCAAAGAGAAAAGAGACATGAAAAACGTGATAGCGTGTGCGATGGGGAGTTGTGTGTGTATGCGTATGCGTGGATAGATACAAATGCCATGGGGTGTGGAGGAGGGGAGGGGGAGGTTGCGATTAGGACCAGGGTGTGTTATTTTTGAACAAGAAAAGATGCCAAAGATAGAACCGGTCAGAGGGGAAGGTTGTGTGATGGATGGCAACGACGCGGGGGAGGTAAACACCCACAGGGACCGGCGTTACGTTTTCGTGAGCGAAGATAAGTAATACAGGGGGAAGGAAGAGAGACGTTGGGGGTGGGGTGGGGTGGGGAGCGAGACGGAAGAGTGGTTTGGGGGGAGCGGGAGAGAGTATTTTGAGTGAACGCCAGAACTCGTGCGAGGATATCAATGGTGATGAGGGGGGATGGGGAATGCGTTGGCGAGGCGGGGGAATCCAAAATATGATATGTTGAGATATCGGAGGGAGACGTCGACGGTCGACGAGGAAGAGAGGCTGCGCTGCGGAACGCATCCTCGATCCGAAGGGGTAAACTGCGAGCGTATGTCGAGACCGAATCTCCATGCCGTGAAAAGAGAAGAATCCCTCCTTGTATGCGTGGTATTTTTGCGAGCGAACCGTCCGAGAAAAAACAGCGAAACCTTTTCGACGAGGCCGGGCCAACACCCCAACCCAACCCATGACTACCGGAACCCTGCCACCGCCGCACGGCCTCGCTGGCGTTCTCTCGCCATCAAGCCGCTACGACCGTTCCCATACCCAGGCGCATCAGGGTGCACCTCGACCTCCTCCAACTCACGACCCCTCCTCCGCCCACGAACGCCTTCCTGCCTGCGCGGCCCCAGCCCATCCGCTTCCTGATCATCCACGACAGGCTGGTCGATGCAACGTGCATACAGATCCCGAACGGCGCCGTGCCCTTGCCCCAGCTCGTGCTTGACAGGCTTCGCCGGTGGAGAGCTATTCCGCCGCGTTACCGTCCGTCCACGCGCGACACCGCTGGCTGCTACCGGACTGTGGGACACCCACTCGAAGACCTTCTCCACGCTGTCGAGGCGCGCACGGGCCTGACTTCCGATGATACCTGTGTGGTGGTGACGGCAAGGAGACGGGGAAGATGCTTGAGCGCTGGATTGTTGACGAGGGGGCGAGCGTCCCAGGGAACGCCGACCGGAGGCGGAGCGTGCCTCAGGGTCCCGACGCTGAAGACGACCACGCGGTGTGCCCTCGACAGTTGATGACGGGCGCGATGAGGTTTCAGCATGAGCGTGACTGAGGTTCAGCAGAGGGTTAGCTGTGCGTGGCGTGGTAGGAGATGTGCGGAGTGACTGGGACAAGCTGGCCAAAGCCTGACGAGAGCCAGGAGAGGTGGACGAATGAGAGGAAGCTGGTGGAGAGCTCGGAGAGAGCTGGAGGAGGGAGAAGTAGGCCGGCAAACTGGTACGGTTACGACTGCGACGCTTGCTGGAGGCAGAGGCGTCCTCTGCTCCGTCCTGAACGGGACGACGTCTTTCGATCTTGATCGGGCGAACGGTATCTTTGCGGGACCGTGTCGACGATAGAGACGAGGACAGGGAGATGGGTGGCACGTCCGAAAGGTCGTCCTCGGTGGTGAATGTGGTGGCTGGTGCACTGAGAGGGCTCTTGATCGGAGCCACGAGAGGACTGGATGTCGAAGAAGCACGCCTGTGCAACAGGGGAATCGTCGACCTGTGGTTGGTGGAAGACGGACGACGCGCATACAGAAGAGCAGAGTTGGGGTGCAAGGAAGATTTGAAGCTGCCTTCACCATACGCATCCGCACTATATGCGCCTTCTCCTTCGATACTGACAGGTGGGTACGCAGCCTCGTCGTCCTCTTCGTCCGACAGAGCAGACCAACCGGTGGAAGAGTTGGAGGACGAGGACACGGAATGATGTGCGCGATGCCCCTTGTATGCCTTGGAACCGCCCATGATGGAAGGAACCAGCGGAGGAATATCCGCGAGATTTCCTGGCGCGTTCATGGAAGAATGGAGAAACGGGGAGGGGAAGGCGCTGCTGGACGCGGAAGCGGAGGGAGAGGTTGCGTCAAGGCTCTCGCATTCATCGCTGCAGTAGACTTGGCTGTTTATAAGGAGGGCGAGGCGAGGAAAAGAAAGACGTAAGAGGGATACATGAGACAGCCTCGCGGAAAGCTTACCCGTCTACCGGCCT